TGAGTGAGTGAGTGAGTGAGTGAGTGAGTGAGTGAGTGAGTGAGTGAGTGTGTGTATGTGTGTGTGTGTGTTCACTTTAATTTATGATTTCAATTAATTTCTCTGTGTTGTCATAGCTTAGTGTTAGTAAATATGTGTTGATTTTATTTTTTAATTCATATTTAGATAAATTTATTATATGTAGTTTTTTATTTAATAAATTGTATACTCTGCCAGATCGAAAATCTTTGAGCAAATGTTGTTCTGACTGGAACTGAAATACAGACGGAGTAGTGTCTTCTCTTTTGGTTCGCACTATCGTGGTTTTGTGGAGGTGTTTGAGAGTGCTGATGAAGAGTGACGGCAGAAATGTAAACTTGTCTAACTGTTAATAGCTTCGACTCTTTGTACAGACGTTCGATTGGGAATAATTTGGGTTTAAAAAAGCAGATTTTCAACAACATCCTTTGAGCTCTTTCCAATTTCAGTAATACAGTTTTTGCAGCACCACCCCATGTTCCAATGCAGTATGTTAGTATAGATTGTACAAGAGCCTGATACACCATTATTAGAGTATCCTTGTCTGCCACATGACGTAAGTACTTGAACAAATACGAAAGCTTCCTAACTCTTTGGGATAAGGTAAGAATGTGGTTCTTAAATGTAAGGTTCCTGTCGATGATAACACCAAGGTACTTCACACTGTCAACCCTCTCTATACAGAGGCATTGGCATGGGTGTAAGATATTGAAAATACATTTGTGAGCTGTAAGAGTCATTGAAGGAGGACAATAGTTTTTATTATTTATTGAAAAAGCTATGTACTTTGTTTTGTCAGCATTTAAGGTAAGGGAATTAGCAGCTAGCCAGTGACAAACCGTTGTGAAACCCAACTGTGCCGTTTCAAAGACCTCCTTCCAAGACCTACCATAAAAAGTTAATGCAGTGTCATCAGCATAAGATGATATTCTACAGTTCTTGATCTTCATATTACATAATTGGTTGATGTAACAAAGGAAAAGAGTAGGACCAAGTATGCTACACTGAGGCACCCCACAAGTTACCGGTAGCTCATCACTAGTATTGTCTCCAATCCTCACGCTTTGGGTTCTGCTACTAAGGTAACTAGATAACAGAGTGAGAGGTGTGCCTCTAATACCTAGCTCCTGTAGTTTGGATAGGAGCAGAGGAACCGAAACAGTATCAAATGCCCTGGCAAGATCCATAAAGACAGTTAGACATTTAAAGTTCTCATCCACTTTCCCAACCACGTATTCAGTAAAATCCCGAATAGCGTCATCAGTGGAACGGCCGGTACGAAATCCGTACTGGGTGTCAGCAAGTATTCCGCATTGCTCAAGGTACTTTCTCAATCTAATGTTAATGATACGCTCAAAGATCTTAGATAGATGGTCAGCATTGAAATTGGTCGATAATTAGACATACTAGCCTTGTCACCCGCCTTGTGGATGGGAATTACAATAGATCTTTTAAGGGCTTTGGGAAAAATACCATACTGCATACATCGGTTAAGAAGATCCGTAATGACGGGAGTGACAAGGCCAGAGATCTTTCTTATGACGTTGGCGTAGATCATATCCCAACCTGGGGAGCAATCACTTTTTAAGCCTAAGATGATACTTTCCACCTCCTCACAATCAGTTGGTAAGAGAACGAATGAATTTAGATGGCAGGTGTAATTACCATGAACATAGCTACTGACTGGGAAAGGCGGTATATTAGTAGGGATATTCCTAGCAAGAGTTTCTCCGACTGTGGAAAAGAACTCATTTATTTTATTTAAAGAAGAAGACTGTCGCCACATACCAGCTCCTGTGGAATAGAATTTTGCCTACTAGTATTTGTCACCGATTTTATGGTCTGCCAAAGCTTTTTAGAATTATTTCTTGCTTTATGCAATTGATCACGTTCGTACTTATATTTCAGTTTCCTTAGTAATCCATTGCAAAAATTACGATATCTTCTATATGTAGTCCCTAGTGTTTCATTGTCCGGTGTCGATCTCAATTTCATGTGCATGCTGTCCCTATTCCTTATACAGCGTAACAGTCCAGTCGTTATCCACGGTTTGATTATAACTTTACTTCTAGGGGTCTTAACAATAAAAGAATTTTTAATTATTAGGTTTGATATTTTGTCTACTAAAAGATTCATGGCTACTTCTACATTTGACTCTCCGTAAACTTCCTCAAAAGTTTCTTCACTGCACAGAGCTGTAATCAATTCTACATTCGTTTTACGATAGCACTTACTGGGACGGGATGTTTTGGACCCATAGTTACTTGGCTTGCCTAGAAAACATAAAACAGCCTGATGATCCGTGATGGAGGTACCTAGTGTGAAGATATAAACCGGTTGCTTTGTTCGTAATATTACATGATCTAGGCAGTTGTTTAGTCGCGTAGGTGTATAACTACCTGGTAAGAGGCCATGATATGATAATGTATCTAGGTACGTAGATATTACTGGACTGTCACCGAGTAGGTTAATATTAATATCTCCCACCAATAAAACATTTTTATAACTTGAAAAAGTAGACAGCAAATCGTGTAATGAATGCAGAAAATTATCCAAGTTACAGAAACTGGGGGGTCTATAAATCACGACCACAATCGAATTTACGTCTATCTTTATGGTTAGGCAGTTAGCATCCATAAAAACAGGCTCTTGTACTTCGCAAACCAAGTGGTTTCCTATATACACTACAAGCCCATAACCTAAGAACTCGATTTATATTTTATACATAAATAATTAAAATTTAGCGAGTTCATTACTTTTATGACAGATTTTACATCACTTTTCACAATGTATTTAAGGTCGCACGTCAATCGCGCTTTCTAACCGATTAAACATTGCGTGAAAAAGTCAGAAATATTATATCTAATTTCGCCATGTTGCAATTTTGATAGTTTATATTTTGTAAGCCATTAAACTTGAAATCTATTAGTATTAAGAGAATTGCGTCTTATGTTTGTAAACCTTTAGTATTTTGGTTTTAAAATAGCATTACTAAGAAAACTATCAAAGACTGTAAAGTATTTAAAAACTGTCTACATTCTACAAACGGTCTTGTAGCATTCTAGAAGGATTATTGTATTATGTATTACTTGATAAAATCTATATCTTGAGGGAAATTGATCTCTTAAAATATTCAATCGAATTAAATTCTATTAGATATTTTGTAGTATATGTATATTTAGATATGAGTGTGCTGCTTGGGCGCTACCTTTATTCCTTCATAAATTGAAAATAGGAGTATTCTACTTTATTTTCAAATTGGGATTTAAAAGTTTAGAGTCTGTCATGATGTAGTATAAAACGTATCTAATTTGTTTTAGAGAATTGTTGAAGAAGTACCAAATAGGCCTGCTGCCTCCAGTACAAAGGGACATATTCTTTGATCCTCGGTAATCTATGCCTATGAAATGATTATCAACTATTAAGTATAACACGCAGGCGTGTACAGAGGGTAGACGTGCGTCCGTAATAGTAAAAATATCATACGAAAAATAAATAATATACGGGGTGATTTTTTATCACTAGCCAAATTATAATATTATGATCTTTGATGAAAATATAACATACGTATGTTTGTATTTTAGTATCACCCAGTACTAAAATCTTAAAATATGAACTTACCCAAAAAACGGCCACAATTTTAGGCATACTACACACCCCAGCCGATGCACCTGTAACATTTCCCCGCAGCGGCATGTGCTAATTATGCTAAATTTAAAACTTAATAACTTTTATCATAATATCATAACATATTACCTCACACAATTGTTTAAAAAAAAGAAATGCATAAATAACATCTGCATTACGTATTTGTTTTTCACGACCTAGGAAGGAAATTAAAATAACCCGTTCGACTTATTTTGATTTCTAGACCACAACAGTTAGAACTAACTTATTTTCGACACTTGAGACACGTGAGACAAAAGTATAATTTGACGACCTCGACGGCCGAACGGTTAAAATCGTTTGAAGATTGAGTGTCCTTGCGTTTTCCACTTCCAGATTGCAAGGGCGTGTTGTATTGTTTTATTGACTTTATCGATTATTATTTTGGACAAATAATTTTAATATGAAAATTTTGGAGTCTTTGAATGATACGTAATGCGTACAAAAAATTTGACTACTCATAAAACAGTCACCCTGTATGTATGTTCACGTTTCCGATAACGATGAATTTAGCCCTTGGGTGATATGTTATTAAGAATTCGTTAATTTCAAATACTTCTTATACATATAAAATAGACACTTTACTTTGTGATATAAGTACCTACAAGACAGACGAGAACAGTTGACTGATAGAAAATTTACGAATCCGTACTTTCAGGTAAGTACGGTTCAGGCAAGCAATTGACTACAATTTTACTTAATTAATGCAGAATCTAAATTAGAGAGTGGATAAATCGTTTATCCACTTTCTAATTGGGGAAATGCCCGTGTTATTATTTGTCAAGGAATTCCACAAAGAGGAAGCAAAGCGGTCCGTGTAACTATCTACAACGTGAGTGTTAATCCTCACCCAAGTCTAGTTTCTTCATCCTGGAGATTTCGAGCAGTTGCTTATCACACTTACACTACCTATCCGAATCTATTTGTCCCATTGACCTACCAATAAATGGACGTCGGGTTCGCGCTAAAAAGTGTCCGCACCTATAGGGCGTTAAAATCGCATACAGAGCGTCATTCGAGCAACAGTCTTCGTTTGTTCGACTGACAACGCGGTTGTCAATCATGCAGTACCAATAATAATAACTTGTAAAAATTACTGCAGTAAAGTGTAAAAACAGGATTTTGTATCATATTGTCAGTAAACAAATATATTGTGTTATCATAGTTCTCATTTAAAAGTGTTATTTTGTACACTTTTATAGTATTTGATTTAGTTTATATATAAATGAATCGTGAGTATAAATTACAAAAGCACACAAAATAATCAAATACCTAACTGTCCTTCTTCTACACATTGCATGCGCAAAAGATGGAAAGATACCCATTACGTCAATTTCAGAAGCTTATATAAACTTCTTGGTCATTTTCAATTGTTCGAACCACAAGCGATTGAAATATTTAGAACAAAGAAACTATAGAGTCGCTTTGATTTCAATCTTATTTTTTAAATGATTTTTTATTAAACGTTAGCAATAAGTAACAAAATATTGTTGTACTCGTTTTACGCCTTGGGATTACCTATCAGTCAGAAACTTCATTTGCCCGAAATAACGTTAGCTCGAATTTTCATAATGTCAAATGTATTTTTTTAGAAAGATTACAAAACAAAAGCTAAGTTTGCCTTAGTGAAAAGTATCAAAATTACTCGAAAGCGTAATGGTTTTATTATAAATCAGTTTTCGGAATTACGGATATTTGAGTTTACGTTTAGTTGGAATATCGGTACATTTCTTATAGTACACGCTTATTTTCACATTTGTAGTAATATTGGTATGTATGTATCTGCCCAACTCTTTATTCTTTCTCTAAGTGAATTTCTTCAAAATTCGACATAATAATATACATAACAATTAATTAATAATAGGGGTTAAAGTATGAAATTGCCGATTTGTGCTGAAAATCTAAATTGTTTATTTTTTAAATTTTTAACAAATTTATTTAATCAAAATAGTTGCCATTATTATCTATACATTGCTGCCATCTAATGGGAAGGTTATTAATGCCTTTGCGATAGAACTCCGACGATCTAGACTGCACAAACTGTGTGAAAGCATTTTGTACTGCCTCCTGGGAAGAAAACTTCTTGTCACGTAGATAATTGTCCAAATCACGAAAAAAATGGTAGTCCGTTGGAGCAAGGTCTGGTGAATACGGAGGATGACGAATGGTTTCTAACTGCAGTTCCTGAAGGGTCAAAATGGTTTCTCGTGCTGTGTGAGATCTCGCGTTGTCGTGGAGCAATAATGGTGAAGATCGATTCATGAGTCGGGGCTGTTTTACTGCTAGTTTTGTCAACATGGTTCGGAGTTCGGCACAATAGACATCTGCCGTTATTGCTTGACCAGATCGGAGAAAACTATAGTGAATAACACCATGCTGAGACCACCAAACAGTTACCATTACCTTTTTATTGGTAAGTTTTGCTTTAGGACACTGTTGTGGCATTTGACCTGGGGTCAGCCATTGCATTTTTCTTTTCCGGTTATCATAAAGAATCCACTTTTCATCACATGTTACAATTCGATCCAATATTCCTTCATTTCTGTACCGGTTCAACAAGGCAACACAAGTTTCAACACGCGTTTCTTTCTGCAGATCAGTCAAATCATGAGGCACCCATTTTTCGTATTTTTTTATTTTATTGATTTGACGCAAGTGAGTCAATATTGTGGGTAAGGTAACGTTAAACCATGCCGCTAATTCCTGGGTAGTTTGACTAGGATCGGCTTCCACTATCTCTCTTAATTCATCGTTATTCACCTGTGTGGGCGGTCTTCCGCGTGGCTTGTTCTTTAAGTCGAAATTTCCATCACGAAAGCGTTTAAACCAAAATCGCACGGTGCGTTCATTAGTAGACCCCTCTCCAAACGCAGCATTGATATTGCGGGCTGTTTCTGCCGCGTTAGTTCCGCGTCGGAACTCGTATTCAAAAATCACTCGAATTTTCGCAGTATCCATCTTTCTTGTCTAAATTGAATAACAAAAACAATTGAAAGTCGATATTCAAATGTTTCAAATTAAAAAAAAAAAAATCACAGAAACCATTTGAAAAAAGTTTCATTCGAAAACCTCAAACCATGAAGATTCTATGAAAATTCAAAGAACCTATTGCAATAAAACGGCAATTTCATACTTTAACCCCTAATATTTAGGATAAAGGCTACTCCATTACTCTTGTGTTCAAGTAATTTGCAGTCGAAGCTAAATAAGGTGCATTTTGTTAAGTTTCCAGTAGAAGCTGAATATGGTGTTTTCGGGCCCTTAAATTGTTGCAACCAAAATTAGGCAGTACTGCAATGATGTTACAATTTAAATTAAATGTTTTAGTTTTTTATATTTCGTTACATGTCACTACGTTTGTATAGGTCAACTTCGGACATTTTTTTCGTGGTTTTTGTATTAGACCCGACCTCCATTTGTTGGTAGGTCAATGGTTTGTCCTTATTGTTAAATACGAAACTTTGTGCCAGTGCTTGATGTGCTTCAGCTTATATCTACCAGAGCTGTATTGCTAATAAGCTCTTTGTCAAGCTTCTGCACGAGTCCAAGACTAGCTGATATTTTGGCACCAGATACACCTCAAAGTTGGCAGTGGTATTCACGTATCCTGCACATGTATGACCTTATATACATAGTTTTCTACTAAAATGTTAATATTAAACAACATGGGATTTCATTTGCAGTAAGTAATATTAAAAAAAATACAATACAATTGAGCTCAATAAATAAGTTGAGTAAATGTTGTATGAAGTAAAAAATTTGAAGTATTCTATTTCCTTAATGGCGGCCACTAGTCTTGGGCCAGTGTCAGTTTCGATTAATGTTGTCAGTTAATATTATTCAATAACGTCAACGTTTCGGTAGCAGCAAGGTATTTATTTTTAGATGAATGGTAGGTAGATAGCAATAAACGGGAAGGGGTAATAAATGGGTTCCACGCTGCTTTTGCTAAAATAGATATAAAAAAAAGGTAGATAGCACAGACATAAATATCTATATGTCTGTGGTAGATAGTTACATCTTGTTTAATAATAGTAGATTGTACAACAAGTGCATAAAACGCGTCATTTTACCCGAGACGAGAACTTAAGTCGAGGGTAAAATGAATTTTTTGAACGAGTTATACACTTTGCTTTTCACTTCGATTGTGAGGAAATTAAACAGCAATATCACAAATAAACGATTATTTTCTACACGTGACTCAGGTCGGACTACATAATGCTCTGCTTATATATATTTATATATATTTTACAAGCTTTTATTTTTTATATATTTCTATTTCTTATAACTTATTAGAATTACTATTGCCTACTTTTTAAATTTTGTAATATAACACGGATTAAAAAATAAAAGTAAAACTTTATTTTATAAAGTTATAGTGTGCGTGGCTGTTGGCGCAGGCGTCATTGCCTCGGTCTTAAACGACGATTTTATTTTATGCATTAGAGCATAACATCCTATTTTATGCAGCCTACACGTAGCATAAATACGAACTTTAAGAGCATGAGAAGTAAAAAATCTTTTTTTAAAGGATCTAACAACAGTGTGTTTAGAGAGGCCTTTTTCTGTATGTATCTTTTTATTCCAAAAGCAAATCTAAAACTCATGTGTAGCAAACGTGCATAGATATGGAAAAAATAGTTTTTGACGTTTGCATAAATTTTTTTTTTAATTTTGTCCGGATAGAGTGAAATAAATATTCTAAACTAAAACTAAAACCAAT